AAGTTTGCTGAGGTGACAGCTGGGGGAGGCTTTGAATATTTCAAAATGATGGATAAATGCACAAGAAAAATCACCCAGATGAAAGCAAAAGCAGAAAGACAGAGACCAAAGTGGTCTTCAGACCCTGCATCTACAGATACAAGTTTGATTTAAAAGGAAATTCAGGTTCTTTTTCTAGAACTTTTGAAGCAAGGTGTGCACAAACATGCCAAGTCCTGCAGCCTTTCCACACCAGAAGCCTTCGTCCAGATGTTCCTTGTACACTTCTGACTTGCTGCCTGTTTTGGGGTTTTTTGGTGGGGTTTTTTTGGTGTTTTTTTTTTTTTTTCTCTCTTTTTGAAGTGGTGTTCCATTTCCTGTGCACAAAGACCATTCCCTGATTCATTTTGGGGTCAAATTGAAAATATCCTATTGATTTCTACTTAATATCCAGCTCTGCTCCTGGTTGGCTCCAGCATCCTTATTTTAATGGGGCCTTTTGGTCAGAAAGTGGTTTTACAGAGCACACCAGCATCTGCCCTGAAAATGAAGATGAACAGCCTAATTGTAAATCAATCTGGGCTGTTCCTCTCACTTAAAAAAAAATAAATCACATTGAAAAGTAGTGCTGGCTCTCAGGGAAAAGCCTGCAGCTCTTCCCATGCCAGGTCATAGCTCCACATATGTTCTGCAGCCTCTGCCCTACCCCACAAGCAGGGATGGCCACCATGGTCTTCCCAGAACAATTCCCAGCCCAACACTCCCTGAAAAGCTCAGCCAAATCATTCTTGGCTCATTCATCAAGCCCAGGTGCATCACACAGCCCCCCCACCTTTCTTCTGACCCTCCTCACAGATGTGCACGCTGCAGTGAATTATCAAAGCGTGGCCCTATATTCTGGCAGACGAGTGATTTGCAGAGGAAGTGGGTTTGGCTCTAGCTCTGATGTGTTCCTGGGAAATGGGCTTCTGACCCTGCCGACTCCCTGGGAGTGCTGCCAGCCTCTTCAAAGGCCCTGCTCTAGTAAGCTCACCTCTGGGCTTTGCCTTGCAAGCACCTATAGGGGTGCCAGTCATTCGAGGAAGACGATGGAGAACAGGGCTCAAAGTCCGAAGGGTGATGCTGCACATGGTGCATACCTGAGCAAATACTGCTGGAGGAACAGCGTGAACAAGTTCATTAAGCACAGCCCTGCCCTTGGCTGCAGCATCAAGACAATGGCTGGGAAGCTGGATCAGCCCTGTGTCAACTATCGTGAAAGAATGACAAAATTAAAGGTGTCCAAGAGGAAGGGACTGCAGGCTCACACGTGCCTCTTAAATATCACCTCCAGCTGCCACAGCCTTTCCTGACTTCACCTTTGTGTTGGGCACTGCCCAGGCTATAACTGTGGTGTCTTCCCTAGAGGAGGGAATGGACTAGGTGGGAGAAAATGGGATAAATCCAGTGATTGAAGGGGATAAAAACAAAGGGAAGCAGTGTTAATGCAAAACTGGAGAGGTGGGCTGCCCTCAGGAAAGGATGAGGGGAAGGGCTGATGGTGATGGTGAAGAGCTGGCCAGATGCAGGGCCTCAAATGAAGCTGGTGGGCTTGGTCAGGCCCTGGCAGAGTCTCTTGGGGTGACCAGGGGCTGGAATCAGACCAGATGTCCATAGGAGATGGCAGAAGCCCACCCTCCCACCCTGGGCTTGGCTCAGGCCCGTCTGCCCCAGAGAGAGGTGATGCCAGGGCGAAGATGCCCAGACCCAGGCCCCTGGGAACAGAGCGTTGGGAGCATCTTGTACCCCATTTGTGATCCGAGAAGCGGCTCAGAGGGGCAAGATGGTCTCGGATCACAGTGGCCCCCTGCTCAGCGCAGGGCGGGCCACCCCTGACGGGCAGAGGAAACACGGGTGGGGAGGGCAGCGGGCAGACAGGACTGCGGTCCCTGACGGGGCAGCAGCAGAGTGGAAGCCCTCGGCGAGGCGGCGTGCGGGAGGCAGCCCGTCCCCAAGCCTGGCGGCCCGGGGCAGCCCCGCGCCCCGCCGCGCCGCGGGCACGGGCGGCACGGGCGGGAGCCGGCCCGGGGCGGGCGGGAGGCGGGGCGGGAGGGGGCGGCGGGCCGGGCTCCCCGGGGGAGGCACCGGAAGGCGCCCGGCGCTGATTCATTGCAATAAATTGTTCCCATCGCGGCGCGGCTCGGTCATTGCCGCCCGAGCAGCCGTGGGAGCAGCAGCCGTGGGAGCAGCAGCCGTGGGAGCAGCAGCCGGAGCCAGCGCCGGGGAGCGAGGATGAAGATGCAAGCCGAGGTGATCCGCGAGGGCGAGCTGGAGAAGAGGAGCGACAGCCTTTTCCAGCTGTGGAAGAAGAAGCTGGTGGTGCTGACCAAGGACAGCCTCAGTCTCTTCCCCGACGGGCACAAGCGGGCCAAGGGCAAGGAGCTGGGCTTCGGCTCCATCCTCAAGGTGGACTGCGTGGAGCGCACGGGCAAGTACATCTACTTCACCATCGTCACCAAAGACCGCAAGGAGATTGACTTTCGGTGTCCGGACCAGAGCTGCTGGAACGCCTCCATCACCATGGCCCTCATCGACTTCCAGAACAAGCGGGCCATCCAGGACTTCAAGAGCCGCCAGGAGATGGAGCAGGCGGCGGGCACCCAGGAGCGGCGGCTGGCCCGGGCGCCCTGAGCCGCCCGCCCGCCCGGCCGGCCGGGCCCCAGGTGAGCCCGCCCGGCCCCTCGGCGCTGCTGCCGCGGCACTCGGTGGGCTTTTCGCTAGAGCCCTTACAGTTCTCTTGCTCCGCGCAGCCCTGGTGGCCGGAGGGAGCCGCGCCCCGACACCGCGCCGGGATTTCGGCAGCGCGGCCCCGTCCCGACCCCCGCGGCGGGCTGGCCGCTTCTCCCGTGCGTGCCGCGGAATTCCTGCCGGAGCCGCGCTTCTGCACTCTGCTGGGAGCACCATGTGGGGGTGGCGGGCAGGAAGAAACGGCACTTGGCAGTGCTTTCCTCACAGAATCTGCTAAAAAAAAAAAAAAAAAAAATCTGTGAAAATAAATGCTCAGTGCTTGCTCTCCCTTTAAAGCCCCCCATTTTCTTTTCCTGTGCCTTGCTGTGCTGCTTGTTAACTAACCCACTTCCTCTTGCTACCTTTTAGAGAATACCACTGGATGATAAACCAGATCGAGTGTCTTGGACTGAAATGGGACAGGGTACCAATGAAGGAAAGCAAAGAAGAGAGCTGGAAGCAGCTTGGTTTCTTCCAAGCCCGTTGTGGCTGCTGAGCAAAGAGCCCCGAGCTTTGCCTGAGATGCATAAAGAAAAACCAAAGACTTTCATACAGGACTTCTAGCAAAGCGTCCACGTGTTTTGAGTGGCACAGCTTTGTGAACTATTATCTTCTATTTATGAGATGCAAGGAAGATTCAACACTGACTGATGGTGTTAAACACAGTTTAAATTATTTGTAGTATCTATATTTGTATTTATTTTGTTGAATGTCTTTCAGCAGTTACTGGTCTTAATATTGCTTTTGCATTAATGTGTCCATTCCAAATAAATTACTTGAAATGTTCACTTTTTATTACTGTACTCTGGGCTGCAGTAACTTTTGTTGAGGCGTATCTGTGGGTATGGCAGTGGTGAAGTGGCTTAAAAAGAGTGGGTAAGGCTTGGCTTTTTGGTGCCCTGGACTGGGCAGTGGGATGTGAAGAAAGCCCAGATAACCTGCTTGTGTTCGACTTTGTCTCCTGACCAGGAAGGGAAGATGTGTTGAGGTTCCGTTCTGGTTAGTGGTGGAGATAGAAAAGCCTACCATAGCTTGCAGAGGAGCTCCTCTGGAAGCTCTTCCCCCCAGAATCCAGTAATGGCAGCTGCAGAAGGCGCAGGAGCTCCCTGCCACGGGAAAATGCTGTTCTCTGCGAACGCCCTGCGTCCTCCCCAGCCCCCATAGCTTAGTGCTGTGCTAAGGCACAAAACTGGATTCTTGGTTTTGGAATAAGAGCGCCAACGCTCCGTGGATTCCTCAGCTTTGTAGCAAAGCAAGCTGAACTCGCTCTCCCCTCTTCCTTCAACTCTGCAGTCTCTAGACAGAGTTAAATTTCTCCAGGATAATTGAAGAAAGGAGGCAGGCAGGCTCTTTTCCTATAGCACCGAGACCAAGAAACTTGGAGAAAAATTAGCTGTTTTTTTGGACAGAAGTGCTGAAGTTTTTTTTTTTTTGTGAGGCTCAATCCTCAATAACTAACCTGGGCTTCCTCGAGAGCAATGTTGCAGCACACGACTCAGTTCTGGCAGTCAGGACTGTGAGCGTAGCACACAAATTACTTGCTGTAAACTTGGTCATTTCCAGCAGGAAATTTCCCCTTCCCGATATCAGCACAATTCTTTCAGGAGACTTTGTACTAGATGAAGTTGCAAAGTGTGTAATTACATAAGCCTGTAGTAAGAGCAAGAGATACTCAGTACAGGGTGGGGAAAAAACCTGGAAGGAGGGTTGGTCCAGTTTCTGGAAGTGGCAGGGAGGCTCTGGCACTGCAGCCTGGTACATCGGGGTTTTGCATCCTCGTTGCTTGTTGCTGGCAGCTCCTGCACAGGCAGGGTTGCACATGACTGAGCTGTGGATGTAACAAACCTCTGGCTGCAGCATGTGAAAGCCTTTGGCCTCAGTGCCCCCTCTAACCTGAAAATGCTGGAGATGCAGTTAATGCAGCAAAACACTGCTCAAAAGCAGATGTGTTTTACCCCCCCCCCTGTTTTTTCTTGGTGGCATTTCAGGGCACTAAAATAAAAAGCCAAACCAGAGCAAAGGCACTGGCTCCTAATCCCTTCAGTTTCAGTGAATCCAAGCAGGAATGCTGCCTAAGGACAGCTGAGGGCTGGGGGCTGTTTCCTGCCATGACAGCCACTGCAGCAGGGGTTAATGGGAGCAACCTGATAGCTCCAGCGGTCCCATGGCCCCAGTTGCTCCAGCATGGCTCCAAGACCTTTGCAAACTGATCTGTCCCTTACTCTAGATGCAAATGCTGACAAAATGGAAGGATTGTTCAAATTGTTTTATTCTAGGTTTATAGAATCAAAAAAAAGCCCTCAAGAATTTATTTTTGTGGGGAAAATAGGGGATTACTTTCTTGCTACTGTATTATTGGATTTTCATCTCTTCAGTGGGATTTTACTCTTCAAGAGGTAAACAAACAAACCTAAATTGACCATTAGCTGTAAATAGCCAAAGGAGGAGACTCCAAATTGTTTATATAAAACCCCACCAATGGTTGGACCCACTGTCCGGGTCAAGGGCTGCACTGAGGCACAAATCCCAAGCATGGCACCTAGGAGAGATGGCAGAGACACACAGGGTGAGAGCAAGTCCCGGCAAGGAAAAGCAGAGAAGAGCACACAAGATCCCCTTCATCCCTGATGCTGCTCCTCTGCAGTAGTAGCAGATCACTTCAAATAATTTCCTGCATTAATTTATAGCGGTCCAACTAGGGTTTGTTCTGGTTAGGAACTGCTGCAGGCACAGGGACCAGTTTCCACCACGAGCCAGCTCAGCTCTTCTCCGAGTGGTCTGGGCAATCACAGCACTGCCCAAAAGGCAAAGTGGGTGCTCACCAGGGTCCAGGGATGCCTTTGGCACTACAAGGTGCTGCTGAATATCACACCTGGAGGGCTGGTAACTACTGCTGGGATTAGGGATGGAAAGGTAATTTCTAGGGTCACGTTTGAGCCTTCCTAGCAAATCACACAGATTCTTTCAATCTTCTAATTACCTGAGTGGGCCCTGCTCCACCCAAGCTACTACTGCCTTTTGTTCTCTAGGCTGAAACAGAGAAACAGCTCTCTAGCAGGAGTGAGAGGGTTAGGCCTAACTAGGTCTTTAAGAATAAATAAATAAAACCAGATAAAGACAGAACCCCCCTGAGATATTCCCCCACCTCCCTTTGCAAAAAGAGGGGATATTTCCATTTGGATAGATATGCAAGCCCTTCGCCTGGCTGGGCCGGTTCCCCCTCCAGCAGCCCTCACATTTGCATCCTTAACAGGAACCCAGCAGATGGGGAAGCACCTCCAGTTTGGCAAAGGTGAGGTTTTCTTCCACGTGCAGGCGGATGGCCAGGACATCCCCTGGGACACAAGGCTGTCCCACACACACCTAGTGTGCTCCTTTGTCCTGCAGTCTTTGTTCAGGACAGCTGTCACATTCAGAGGAGCAGAAAATACCCGGCCAGCCAGCAAATCATTAGCCCCCAACACTGGGAGGAACAGCAAGCTGGCAGTGTATTCAGTGAACTTGTGCCCAGCTCTGAAATGATGTTTGCAATTATTTTTTTACTACCAGTATGATTATTTGGGCTGCTGGCATCACTTTTCCTTTAAGACACATGCTGAGGTGTTGTCACCACACAGCCAGGAAGGATGAGGACAATGCTGTCCTGGATGCAAGAAGTGGAGCAGGAGTGTGATATTTAACGTGGGCAGCCAAGGGGGAATGATCCCCAGCTCCCAGAGAGAACAGGCAGCCAGGTGTTCGCGTAATGCCGGGCAGCGACTGCTGGGCTTTTATCAGCGTGCTTAAAATACTTGTGCAATGAGCCCAAGCCAAGGGTGTAGCCATGTGGAGAGGGAAATCTCCCGGGAAGCGCTGCCGAGCGCTCCTCCCACGCATGGGAACACAAAGGCGATGGGTGGGACCTTGCCTTGACCCTTTGCCAATGGGAACCATCCCATAACCACCAAACTCTCTGGGCAGGTTTTGCAATTATTTTTTCCCCTCTAGGTATTTGAATTAAACTAATTACTACGTGCAATTGCCAAACTGGCTCTTATGATTGAGGAGGCACTTTTTTCCCCTTTCCTTTTTTTTTTTTTTTTTTTTTTTTTTTCCATTTTTCTTTTTTTTTTTTTTTTTTTTTTTTTTTTTTTCTGGAGCAGAAATCCATCGTCTTAAAAGCCTGGGCTCTCCTTCTGCACTTCTCCAACATGTTGCTGAGAAAGATAATTTCTGTTTAACGGGCTTAAATTAGATCCCTTGTCAGACACCCTCAGGCTCTGGGACATTATAAATCTCAGCTCTGCGGCATGGCCGTAGCTCTGTGGCAAAGCTGCACATGTGATAAATCTCATTTAAGGCAAGACCTTTAACTAGGACAAGTCACCGCCTCAGCAGAAAATTTCCTGCATCGCTTGGCGCAGCTCTGCCAATGCACATGCTCACCTTCTTTGTCATAGCTGTCCCACCTTCTGCACCTTCCCTGCTCTTTTTTCCGTTCCCTTTTCCCATACCTGGCATGACCTGTGCCGGCTGGGAGCCTATCCTCCCCTCCCATCCCAGATCTCCTCTGCTCCCGCAGGTTTCAGGGCTGGGTGCTGGCGGCTCTCCAAGATGGGCGACTCCTTTCCAGCTCACATCCTGTTGCCTCGCTCAGATGATGGTGCTGGCCCAGATCAGCCACACGCCCATGGGGCAATCGGGTTTAACCATTAGGTCACTGTCGCCAGCGGCCGCCTTTGAACCTGCAAAGCTCAAGCAAAGCTGGGGGGTTCAATGCCCCAAGCCCTGCCTGGCTGCAAACTCTCCTCCTCAGGAGAGAGATTTTATTTATGCACAAATAAAATCAGGACACGTGGGCCCGTTACGCATGGAGGCTCTGCTGGGCTTCCTGCCTCCCTCCCTCAGGAATGGGGGGGATCTGTGCAGGAACAAGACCTCCATTCTTGGGGAAGGACCAGGGTGGACAAGGAGTGCTTGTGTGAATGCAAGTCCCCCTCCGGGACTCCGGGCTGCCCTCCCACCAGCTCATGTGTCCAGCTGAGCAGCACGTGCGTGTGGGGCTGAATTTTCTCTTCCTGCCTTTGAAGATGAAGAGAAGGAAAAAAAAAATCAAAGGGAAACTAATTAAATCATTACTGCTACCTTTGCTCCTGCGCAAAGCCTGAGCTTGGAGAGTAAGCAAAGCGCAAGTGCCAAGCGCATCAGCCTCGGAAGGAAGTGACTTTGGATCGGATCTAAAGCAGGCTGATGGGTGCAAGGGATGGTGCTGTGCCACCTCCCACTGATCCTTTCTGAGACGCTCATTTAAAATGCAAGGATGGGTGACTCAGTGTCTAGCAAGGGCGGACAGGCTACACTCCTGCAACGCCCCATCCATCCCAGCCCCGTGATGAGATGGACACCTGAGCTCAGCCCAAACTCCTTCAGAAGACCTTTTCCTGACCCAAAGAAAAACCTCCATTTGTTGTACAGGCAGAAGCTGACCAAAAACATCAGGAAAAGACAGCAGCAAGGCTCAAAAGTTACGCTTCCAAAGGCAAATTCTCATTGTGTGATATCCTTGCATTAGCGAAAAGTTGTTGCAAGTGAGTACTGAGGTTTTCAACACAGTGACAGGAAAGCTTTTTCATAAAACCAGATTTCCACAGTTATGGTAAGGGTTTCTAATGCACTATCAAAAACTTCTCTTTGCAGAGCCAGTGTCAGGCTCGCAGAGGAAGGAGCAGCCTTTAGGCTGGTGTATGGGTGGAGCAGCCTTTGCGGGGTGCCACCCACGGCCAGGGATGGATGGAAGGCATTTTAATGGCTGCATTTCTCTGTGAGACACCCACGCTGTCACTGCTGCAGCTGCTGTGGAAAGGCAGCCTGCTGGCTCTGCTGTGTCAGGCATTCCTGCCTTCGCCCCAGCCCCTGCCCGGCTGGCAAGCACGGGACCAATAGTACCTCTTCCCCCAGAAATATTGCAAGGGAAAAGCACAGTTTAAAAGGTACAGACCAGGAAGGAGTGGCAGAGACAAGGTTTTCCCCCACTGCCACAAAGCTCTGTGCCAGAGAGTCCCTCTTGAGCCAGCTGTAGCTCTGCATTTGTAGTAGTACTTGGCATAACATCAACCCAGGATGGACAGGCAGGGAAAAGCCCTCAGTAGCCCATGGCATGCCCTGATCAGCTGCAACCTGCTCCTGAGCATCTGCACAGATCTGCAGACTGCCTCCATCCTGCCCTGCAATCCTGCCCTGCCAAGAGGAGACCATCCATCCCGCCGAGACACAGGCTGGCCTAACAACATATGCAAGCAGGGAGCAGGGTGAGGCAAGTAAACCCATTTTCCTCTTTGACCAAAGCTTGCCTCCGGGCTCCAAAAGCTAAGCACTGCTCTGGTTTTCCTCACAAAACCCCTTTGAGAAGGGCCTGGATGAATTCCAGCTTGGTTGTGCGTCCCAAAGCCACTTGGTGCCCTTTCCTGCTGGCTCTCCCTAACATGAACATTGCTCCAAGTCATGAAGCAGCAAATTTTCTTCCTGGCTGGGCAGAGGGGATGAGACTTTTCCCAGGAAGGTGAAGACTGGGGATAAATGGTCCTTGCAGGTAGAAATATTCTACTTGATAATCACAGGCTCCCAGCATTTGTAGGAGTTGTAGTGGGTCAGCTCTACAAATAAACTACTGAAATGATTTTCAGAAAAGCTCTTCACCCAGAAACATCTCAAAAGTGCTTTATAAACTTCACTAATGGGCTGTGCAAACTTCAGCTCCCATTCTTAGTAGGGTCTGCAGAGGTGTCTGCTCAGGCAGCTGCTAGGGAAGATGAAGGGTGCAGACTGCATCCCAGAAAACCCCAGCTAAAGCAGAGACACTCTTGAGTACCTGCTCTGGGAGCAAACCCTGAAAGGGCTTGAGCAAAAGACATCAAACCAGGTTAAGCCAGCTCTATCCCTGCACAAATTCATCCAGGCTACCATGACAGCAATGTAGGCATATTTCCTTCATCAGGATAACTAAAGCCCCAGGTATAAAGATTTAAGTGTCTACCACTGCTATCTTGCACAGAGAAATACAGGAACTCTCCTGAAACAAGGCCAAAACAGAGAAAGGGGGCAATTATTGCATCAGGCAAAGCATGTTTGCAAAGAGTAATCCAGAATACCCTCCTGAGATATCATCTCTGACACTGTCACAATGGAAGAGCAGCTTTTTTTTTTTTTTTTTTAACATACCTTGGCTTTCCATGGAAAAGAGAGCTGGAGAAAATCTTCCCTTTCTATGCCCACCACTATGGATGTCAGCAGGCAGCACAGGATTGGGAGCACTGGGTTGTGGGATGCTTGCTCAAGATTGTTCAAGTCCATCCTCTCTATTAGCCCCACCAGTCCCGTTCATCTGCTCTGCCAGCACCCATCGTGTGCCCAGCCAGATCTGGGTTCACCAGCGCTCTGTAGCTGTGGTGGGAGCTGGGGAGTGCCCAATAGACTCAAAACTGAGAAAATACCAGTCTGACCTTTTTTGATGAGTCTTACCAGTGCTGGAGGAAGGCACAGCCTTGGTGAGCATGCTGTCGGTGATGGTGGCCAGCGTGTTGAAGGCAAACACCATCGGCACCGCAATGATGCAGTAGTGCCACACGGTCCTCATCAGGGCCTAAGGGACAGGACACAACACACCACAGATCATTAAAGAGCAAAACGGTGACTTTGTGGCAAGAAACAACCTGGGGGAAAATCACAAGTCAAACCCATGACTTAGGGAAATGGTGGGAGCCACAAATGATACGTGGTGGTGTGGCTTTGGCCGTTGTGGGGTCTTTCACAGCCTGCCATTTGTCTGCAGTGAATTATTCCAAGCATGCAGAGCAAACGATACCCTATAATCTGGCAGCACGTTTCCCCGGCACTGCTGTGGGTATTTTTAGCATCTGGGAATTAGTGACGTCCCTGCACCCTTCCCCCTGTCTTCTGTCCAACTCCTGAGGAAATGTTGAACAGCAGATGTGTGTGGTGTACTTCAGGAAGCTTCCATTACTTATACAAAACAGCCTAGAGAAGGCTTTTTGGTTCATTATCATAAATAATTAAAAGTAAACCGAGCCTGTCAAAATAAATGAGCACGGTGCATTATGTAACACCGTACCTTTGGGATTTCTAATCCTGTTCTGCTGCTTCCCTGCTAATAAATTCACCAAATTCAGTAATCTGGAATAGGTCTTCTGGCCATGAGTGCACATTAGTGAGCATAATTAGGGAGAGTAATGATTTTGTTATTGCAGATATTCTTAGCGGAGACATCCCTCCAGCTGTTTAATGCTGAAACAAAAGCGGTGAGGCTCCCTAAGCTGTAGGGCTGGAGTGGCTCCCAGCTCATTCACAAGCCCTGCTGGTCAAATGAATGGATTTTTCTCTGGGGCATGGAAAGGAAATTCCCCCTTTATTGCAAGTCTTCTGCCCTAACCCATGTCTCAAGGTGTGTTATTGTGGCTGGAAAATATTTCTGTCACTGGTTTAGCCAGAAGTTTCATTCTCTGGAGTTCTCTGTCCTAAGATCTGGTCCCTGCCTCTTGGCTACAGAAGATGGAGGAGCCCAGAGACATTGCTCACTAATGACTTGGAAATATTGAGGTTTATTCCTAGTTTCCCTCTAGAGTTACACACAGCCAGGTTTTTCTTCTCAGAGGGGCTCTTTGCTTACATTTTGGTTAAGATCTAGGCACTTCTGATTAAGGAACCAGAGAACAAAGACAGAGGAACAGGTATTTGGTACATAAACAAAAGGAAGAAGAGTAATTCCTTGCTAGGGCAAATGTCATTGCAGGACAACATTGCAGAGCTCATAGAAAAATTTCGTTTTAATCCCTCCTGCTTTGTACAGACTCCCTCATGGCTGGAGCAAGTGAGCAAAAAAGAGCAGAGGCATATCTTGTGTCTCCTGTAAAACAAGGGGAAATGGCTCCTCACTTCCCTGGGGCTGAGGGAGAACCGAGCCAGGCAGAGCCCAGTCCTTGCTACTCCTTAGCTGCTGGGTGGTGAATAGATTTTTTGAGGTGAGCAGATCTGCGAGCATTTTTTAGGTAAGAGGCAGAATCGGGAGTCTCAACAGATAACTCAAAAAACAAATGCCTGGGAAATGCAGGCAGGATGAGGTACAGCCGTGCATTCAGACAAGGGGAAAATCTTCCCCATTGCAACTGCCAAGCCCTCCTACAGCCCTGCCCACGCTCTCCCAGCTCACATCTGCAGATCAGACACTGATTTTTCCTTCCTCTCCTTATCCAGGTGTTACTGCCGAACTCCCAGCCCACCCCTTCCCTTCTCCAGCTGCCTGTTGCTGGGAACATCCTGCAGCCTCTTCCCAGCTGCAGGGCTGTCTGTCTGCTGCTGCTTGTGCCAGCCTTCCGAAAACGCTCCAGCCCACCTCCTCTCCCTGTGATATCAGGATGGGTTCTGGAGTGTCTTTTATTAACAGCTCGCCTTTCTCCTCACTTCCACCCCTTGGGGAGGGAACTGCTGAGTTTGGAGACCACATGCTGCAAGGGCACAGCAGGTGGGACGCTCCTCCACCAGCAGCTGTGAGGATTAAAAGCTACACCCAATAACTTCTGCATTTGGGGCTGCTGCTGTGACAGCCCTCATCTCCACCGAGACAGAAAGCCACCCCAGAAGCGGATGTGTTCCTGGCAGCCACTTGGACAGAGCGCTTTTTAACGCAGCTGCATTTGCCTATGAATAGCTCTCATGGGAAGTCACTGCTGACCCTTGTCCCCAGGCCCATGCTGTTAGGATGTCCACAGGCCTCCGGGCTTGGCATAATTACCAGCTCTAAGATGATTCCCTTCCTGGCTCCTGGTTCTCCTCCCTGTGCAGCCAAAGTGAGCCTTCCTGCACTGGGACATCTGTGCTGCCCCGTGTGCCTCTTCACTGCCACGAGGCTTTCTCCCCTACCTCCACCTGACTCCAGCCTTCCCTGGAGGTCAGTGACACCTCAGTGCACAAAAGCCATGTAATTCATGTTGCTGCTCTGCCTGATTCCCATGGAACAGGGCTTCCGCACAGGGATTCAGTCCCAGCAGCACCTCCTCTGCACCTGGCTGGGGGTGCTCATCTCTCCAGATGGGCTAGGTCCACCTTGGTCCCACCTAATTGCTCTCACCCATGACAAAAAAAAAATGGGGAGCCCTTCAAAGTCCTTCCCAGCCCATAGTCAGGAGCATCAAAGCTCTGTGCAGATGTCCCATGTTAAGGGGGCATATTGACTTCAGCCCAAAGAGCATGACACCAATTGGAAGAGACCCTTCCCAAGCATTCTACACCTGACAGAATCCCCAGGAGCCTCAAAAACCTCAAGAAGAGGACCATGCTCCACCTGCAGAGCCAACCCTTGGTCTGCACCCATCCTCCCTTCGCAGCCTCATCTCAGACATGATTTAGCCTCAGATTAGCTAAGGTGTGTAGGTGCCTCATCTCATCCATGTAGCTGGGAGCCACAAACCTCAACACCCTCCAGGACTTGGCCCTGACCTCCCCACAGCTGTGGTATGGTTGTGGGAATGGCACTCATCCTACCTGCAGCAGTGGGAGCAGCACCAGTGTCCTGGCAGCAAGGCTCAAGGCCAAATCCTGCAGGGAATGTTGAAAGGCTGATGCAGCTCAATTGTCCTTTGGGTCCACTGCACTGACAGGGACTGCAAGCACCTTTCCTCCATCCCCATGGCCTGGGCAGAGCTATCAGTGCCCTGAACGTGGCTTATCTGAGCAAACACAGTTCCCAGCACAGCTACATCCACTCCGTTTTCCAATTACTGTTTGAGATTGGCATCGACTGTCACCCATGCAGACACAACCAGCAACAGCTAACATCACTTATCCCAAAATGGAGGAGCAAAATTACTGCCTTGCTACCTCCTTCCGCAAATACTCTCATGTTGGGGGATTAGACAAAAATAAAGCCCCAGAAGGAGAGTGCACAACCTCTGCCATCTCACTGCAATATACAACTGCAATGATTTTTCCCCAACGTAATCTTCATTTACTTTCTGGGTAGTCCAGGAAATGCAGTCGCTGACAAGACCAGGCCAGGATTTCTGTGCAAATCCGGTGACTCAGGAGGGACTTAGCGAGTTTCTGTGCAAGATTAATAATATATTTTTTAATCCCCATAGCTATTACTCACACCCTTTATCACGGCTTGGCGCAATGCTGACGTTGAGCGCGGCTCTGTTTGCGCAGAGGCCCAGGAGAGCTGGTTTTCCCTGCCCTGAAGACCACCCAGGAGAGCCAGAGGTGGCATTTCCAGGGGCAGAGCTCACAGCCAGGTCTCACAGACCTTGTGTCACTGCTTGTGACGTTATTAAAGGCACCATGGGTGATTTCCCACCCGCCTCACCATGCCTAGGCCCACGCTGGCAAAGACGAAGATGCTGAGTCTGAGCAGGGTCATCTCTGAGCAGTGACTTGCAAGTTTCTCAACCAGCAAACCCTGGACAACCTGGCAAAGAAACACATAAGCACCATTAAGCCTGATATAATATAGTAATTTAAACAAACTCAAAAGAGAATTGCTACTTTCTTCAAGCAAACAGGTTTTTCCATCAGGGTTTCTTTGACAAAAAAGGATCTCACTGCCACAGTAAATGACTGGAAGGCATGATCCATTATTTCAAATGTTTTGCTTTCTAGAGAGAGATCCATCCCATCAGCTGGAAGTTTTACTCAGAGTGCATGCCTGGGTTTACCATCACTTCCTACTCAGCAGCAGTGACTGAAACTTTCTAAAAATGCTTGCAGATACAACTTGTGATGTGCTTGTGAAATACAGTTAATACTACAGTCTTCATTCTTGGCAAGACCTCTCAAAGAAAAACTGTACATTTGTAGGCAAAGGAGGAAAATGTCTGTACCCTTTCTTGCCATTATTTTTAACTATAAATATACAAATCGGGTGGTTCATAATTTTTAGACAGGAAACAAGTATGACGGAGATGCTAATATCCAGTCCCAGCAGTACACGCAGATGTAAAGGATGGGGAACTGGTTCCACAGATTTTAAACAAAAGCTTGGGGGGAGGGGGAGGGAAGGAAGAGCGAAATATTAAAATCCCAGAAATTATTTGACTTTTCCAGCACTTTGCAGAGCAAGGATTCCCTCTTTTATTTATTTGTTCAGCATCTCCCATACTTCAGGTGATCCTGGCCCAAGTGGACATGAGAGGAGAGAGGCTGGAAAAGATCATGGTTAAACACTCTGACTGACTACAATACAGGGAAAGGACTGATAAGAATCTACTGAGTTTTTCCTGCCTTGAAAGAGTTTGTTTGATCCAAATGAAAACCCCTCTGACTTGAAAGAGGAGCTCTAGTTCAAAATGCTTTGTTTCACTTTATTTCTGTGGTAGTGCAACCTGGAGAAAACTTCAGTGGTCTGTTTGTACCAGGAATGACACTACACTACACTCAGTGTTAGTCCTTAGGCAGAAACCCAAAATCAGCTAAAAGGAAATGAG